TGAAAGCAAATTTTACTATTCTCTTTCCCATTGACCTTTGTATTCGACTTAGTTGTAACGAAGATTTATTTTAATTTTCTGAAGTTCACCATGGTGTGACTTAGTTTTTATTCACCTGGAAAGTTCTCCTATTATTGTTGCAAAATGGTGTGGTAAATCAAGTGTGAGGGTGATGTCCTTTGAGACAGGAGATAGGAGATGGGGAACAGAAATATGGCTAGTCCCCAAACAAAACTTAACAGGAAAAAAACCCCACAAAGATCTTGTTTACACCAGTTTGTAGCAGTTTTGTGGTCAAGAGTGCACAATAATGCCCCTACACAATAAAAAAAAATCGACCTTTGTTTCATTAGCACACATGCAAAACACACCCCTGGGAGGAGGTTTGATATGCTAATGACAGATACAAGTTCTGTTCCAGCATGTTCAGCTAGAGAACACGCATACAAATGAGCACTCTTATGGGGTGGGGGGCTCAATTCTATCCCTATGCCCTAAAAATTCAACCCCCTTTATGAATATGTATGTCAGTTCTCCATAAAGGGAGCTCTCAGAGGCACTCAGTACTGTCTCCTTCTTACCAGCAGTCTGCTCTGTCTGTGGAGTGTATTCTCACCTTGCTCAATAAACTTGCTTTGCTGATTCACACTTGATTTTTTTTTTTTTTTTTAAGATTTTTGCTATAGGGTATGTGTGCTTGCTGGAGAGACAGAGAGAGTAGAAAGTGAAAAATCATCCCCCCAGAGAGGATAGGAGGATGACCACACCACAGTTCCTTCTCCTCCATTCTCCTCTTGGGATCTGGGCACGTGCACACACACACCCAGCATGAATTTTAAGCTGCTGGGTCCAAGTCGAACTGCGGTCGACTACGTGGGAATTCAGTGACATAACCATTACGCCATTTGCTGGTCCCTCACACTTGAATTCTTTCCTGCAACTAAATGAAAAATCTGAAGACCCTCACTTTGGTGGCACATTCTCCTCCCTTTCCACGCTCCTTCCTTCCACTTCCTGAAGCCTTTCCTTTCTCACTCACAGCACCAATTCAGGCCACCCTGAAAACCGCTGCAACAGCAACAGCCCCACTGATGGAACTGTTCCAGCATTACCACCTACTTTCCACCCTCCAAGTCAAAATCTATCTTTCAGTGTAACCACACTAACCTAGCCATTAGGAGAAAAAGCAAGCTAATTAAATTAAAACCTACTACTTTTTCTAGATACACACCAATTGATTAAGAAAACAGCTAGCCAGTTTTCCCTAAGATTATCAAACTTACAAAGTAAAGATATAGGACAGGAAGGTCAACTTGAACTTCAAGTAAATAATGACTTTTTAAATACGATATGTCCCAATTACTGTATTTTATCTGGCAACCCTAGTGTGCTCTTCTTCCCAAAGTGTAACAATTTTCAGAGAAACTTTACCTCAAATGGAATGGTTATTATTTATTATTGTTTCACAATAATGCTGTATATCATGAAGAAACCAAAAGCAGAAAAACAGTATAATTCTAATTTCTAAACCCAATCACATTAACATTGTGGTGTGTTACTTATTGTTTTATTTCCTGCACATACGATTTCCTTTTGTTTTATTATATGGTGACAAATACATGGTACATATTCTGCTTTGTAGTCCACTTGTTTTTTTTTTTCCCTACTTGTGACTAATAGAGTTTTTAGAAAGCAATTTCTCCACAGGTCTGGCCCATGAGGATCCCCCTGGACATCTGAAGGTGCTCAGGGCATATTCTGCCCCAATTTATTTCTCCTTTTCCCTCATATCTTTTTTTTTCCCCTATATTTGACAGCTTCAAGTCAGAACTGCCATGGAATTTCTGTTAAAAGATATAAGCATGCATGTAAATAAGTGGAATGGGTTATACAATACTATAGCTCAATACTTGACAACAATTCAATACAAAGATGGTAGATAGATAATCGTTCAAAACAAAGTTTGAAATAACCGAAAGAGTAGATTTCAAATGTGCACAACATGAAATACTGATGAATGCTGGAGGGAGCAGATATGTTTGTTGCCCTGGTTTGACTGTTACGCATCGTTTATGTTTTGAAAAACCAGACTACACCCCTTGTATACTGTTAAAACTCCTCCTCCTCCTGTAATTCTACCATTCCGTTTCCCTACTGGCTGCCTTTCTTCTTTCTTCCTCCCATGGGTTTGTACTCATAGTCTTTACTTTCCCAGGGCTGTAGGTGAGACGTGGACTGTTGGTCCAAATTCTGGAAAGAGCATCCCTGGCGCTTTTCTTGCCTGGAGCAGGCTACGGCTTCAGTTACTTCTCCCAGAGCCAGTAGTAAACTGGGCAGGGGTGCCCGGCTTTCACTTAGAGGTCTCTGCCTAAAGTTTATTCAGCTTTATTGATATACAATTGCCAAATAAAAATAATATATATTTAAGGTGTGCGACTTGATGTTTTGATATATGTATACAGTGTGAAATGGTGGCCACAATCAAACTACTTTTTCACATATCCATCTCTTCACATAGTTATCGTGTGTGTGTGTGTGTGTGTGTGTGTGTCTGTGTGTGTGTGTGTGTGTGAGAGAGAGCGATTGAAGGACCATTCCCATGTAGTTGAAGACTTATTCTCTTAGCAAATTTCAGGTTGGCAATGCAGTATGGTCAATTATTGTCACCATGCTTTATTTTACATCTCTTTAGTTTATTCATCTTGTAGAACTAAAGCTTTGTACACTTTGACCAACGCCACCCACATCCCACTCCAACCTCAAGTCCTGGCAAACACCCTCCTGACTCTCTGCTTCTACGAGTTTGACTACTTCAGATTTCTCATACCACTGAGATCATGCAGTATTTGTCTTTCTGTGTCTTCTGGCTTATATCAAGTTAATTTAAAACCTTTGAAGCCACGAAAGTGGCCGCATCTCCCACTATCACACCCATTTGGTGTCCCTGAAACCCCGATATCTTCCATCAGGAGCACTTAGCAGTCCGGCAAGGCCCTCCCTTGAACTTTCTCATGATACGGAGAATAATTATGATCTTTTTCCTAACACAAGGGATAACAATTACTTCCCCCAAGACCAATAATAATTGATAAAAGCACTGGGAGTACAAAGCCAAAGGAAATGCATTGGGAAAATGCATGCAAATATCCTGACTTTATAGACTGGAAGCTTATGAGAAAGAGACAAAGCACATGCTTTGGCCCTCCTAAGCCCTACCGTGCTCTGGGGATCCAGGCAGTCATAGGAGGCCTCTGAGAAGACCCCATACATCTCTTGAAATTCCTCGAACAACTGCTGAGCCTGCTGACTGAGGGCATTCCCTCTAATGCCGCTGAACTCAAGCTTTCCCAGTTTGTGCAAATCCAAGGCAGTCTTCAGAAGGTCCTATGGGGACAATTTGCACAAGAGGTAAAACAATAACAATAACCGTAACAACAGGGGCTGACACTCAAATTAGCATGGGGAGAGTTGGAGATCATACGGGGGTGGTGATTGCTCAGGAAAACGCAAACGCCTCATCAGTTGTGTAACCTTATTATTAGATTGTGGGGTGGTATAAATAACTCCTGGATCAACTTGACAATAAAGCAAAGAGAAAGTCCAGATAAATAAAATGCACACAAACTGAAATATACAAACACCCTTTGTGTTTTACACTCTCTGTTTCTGTGTTGTTTAATAAATAGAACAACACAATAAAAAAACAAAATTATTTACACGATTGGTGCCTTTACTACTGCTTTTTATTTTGAAAAACTCAAGTGAGGGCCAGTCCCATAGCCTAGTGATTAAGGGAGCTAGAGCCTACTTCATTAGCTCCAGGTTGAATCCCAGTCCCAGCAGCTTCTGAAACACTGTGCGGGTGCATGTGTGCATTCCCAAAATTTCTACAGGATGGTAATATAGAGAACAGATTGTGGCGCAACCATGTCCCGAGGGTAGGAGGGATGCTTTCTTCCTCTTTTTCTCTCTGTCTCTGTCTGTCTGTCTCACTCTCAGAGAGTGCATACACTCTCTGGAAATTTAAAAAACAACAACAACAACATTAAAACAGTCAGTTTCCAATGGACCATGCTTTCTGGTTCTAGAATGACAGCTATCTTGGAGGACATGGACAGGAAAAGCAAAGCCTCTAAATAGTTCCTAGGACAAGCCCAGAAGGTGACATTGACATTCTTAGCAAGTTCTTCTGCCAAAGAAAGAAATCTGCAGAATGTCCTTCCTGAGGGTGCACAGCACGTCGCACCACGGCACCAGCTGGGTGCAGTAGTCCTTGCTTCATCTGTAACAGGATGAGAACAGTTCATGGTGGGGTTGTGAGACTTCCATCAATGCAGGCCTAGGGTATAGGCCAGTGCCAGGCACACAGTGAGTGCACAGGTGTGAGTTATTGTCACTGCTGTGGACCTGGCAATGTTCCAGCTGTGCTCGAAATGAAATGACAGGAATCACAACCCAGCAGCCTCAGGAGGTGTCTCTCCTGAGCCCATGAGAGCCGCATCATTGTTAGTAGGACTGGGGCCTCCTGAGCTCATCTTGCATGACAGACTGACTTTATCCCTTGTGAGTCCTTGTCTCAGATTACAAGTGCTCAAAACCAAGGCTAGGTTCCCACCATGACTTCCAATCTATGCACAAGCCCATTTGACAGGAAAGAGGAAGGTAAAGGTTGCCCTTGGATAGTTTATGGCAAACATTTGGTGTGGGCCCCTGGGAAGACCTGGTTTTGTATTAATGTATGTATACAATGTGAAAGACCTTGAAGAGGTCGGGAGGAGGGTAAGAACGGGGTGTGCTACGGCACTGATGCTGCAAACCCCAGGAGGTCCTGGTCCCATGCCAGGAAATGCTCATTGCCAGTGGCCCTTGCTATGGTTTGACCCATCAGGCGAGCACAAGGCTTCTCTGCCCCTTCCTCTTGCTGGGACCCCAACTCCAGCTGCAGTGACAGAGGCACAGGGCGGTGATGAGAAGTGGCTGGCTTCCCCCACTTTGCCGGGAAGGTGCCTATGCACTAGGGCAGCCATCTGACAACCCCTCCGTTGCTCTGCTATGTTTGGGCCGGACTGGCAGCAAGTAGCTAAGGTGGGAAAGGAAATAAGGGGAAAGACACTGGCCGAGTAAAGGAAGACGCCCCACAAACCAGGCACTCTTGCCACCAGAGGTGGGAACAGGGCAGTCTTCATTTAAAAGCACAATTGGGACGAGCAGATAGTGTAGCGGTTACATTGCTGGACTCCCATGTAGTTGACCACAGTTAGAGTCCTGGACCTAGCAGCTTAAATCTCACTCTGGGCGCATGTGTGTGCGTGCCCAAGATTCCAAGAGAAGAATGGAGGAGAAGGGATTGCGGCGTGTCCATCTCCCCTGAGGGATGACTTCTCACTTCCTGTCTCTCTGTCTCTCCAGAGAGCACATGCTCCCTGTAGCAAACATCTCTTTCTAAAAAAACAAAAACAGTAAAAATCATGTTCAAGTGTATGCTTTTTTCTTTTTTTCGTTTTCCTTCTTATTTCATTAAAGACTGGTGGATAAACACAAATACAACACAGTTACTTCAGATCATTCTTCATATTGTATGCACACAGATCAATGAGCATAACCTGCAAGAAACCTGGAGTCAGCAATGAACCGCATACAGTTTTTTCTTCTTTTGCTCACTCCAAAAGAAATTTTAAACACCCAAACTCAGAATCTCATCAGCACACACTTGAACGTGCTTTTAAATAAAGACTGCCTGGTTTCTGACCACGGGAAAGAACGTGGACATGGATTTTATTTAAATGAAATTGACTTCAATAGTAATTCACATCTCTCGCAGGTGCTTGGTTGTAAAAGGTTTTATAGGAGAAACATATTTGTGCTATAAAATATAACCTTGGTACTTGTATAATTCTGTGGATGTCAGTTTCAATTTTAATTTTTTTCGGACAAGCTTCTCTCTCTCTAGTCTAGCCTGCTGATCCTCCTGCCTTAGCCTCTGAAGTGGTTGGGATTACAGGCACATGCCACTATTCCCAGATTTTAGGTTGGACTGGGAATCGAACCTGGGATTTCCTGAGTGGTTCCAGCTTGGGAGCATAGTGTTTTAGCAAGCTGTATCATTTGTGGCTGGGCCCTCAATTTCCATGTTAAGGAAATACTATACATACCATAGGAGCCTGAAACCTGAAAGGGCTTGCACATCAAATTACCTATTTCAAAGAAGTCATCTGGAGACCCAGCAGAAACAGATGTGAGTTTATTTAACTTACGAGATGCACTGATGGTGGCTGGTTGGTGAAAGATCCACACCCAGTGCAGCATAGCAATGAGTTAAGCGCAGTTAGAGCAAAGCAACCATGCTAATCTTATGGAGGTTGGGTAGACTTGTCTCCCAGTACTGGGGTCTGGTTTCCATTTATGTCTGAAGATTATTTCAGTCATGGTAAAGGTTACTTATCTATCAACAGGATCAACAAAGTACGTTCTTTGAGCTTGGCTACTGGGGTCTTATGATGATTCCATGGCAGAGGTGTGTATTCCTCTGGAACTGCACCTGGCCTTGGGCTACTCCTTAAATGACAGGTGGGTCACATTTCTGTGGGGTCAGCCTTGGTCAGAAACTACCCCCAGGAGGGGAGAATGTGGGGGTGGGTGTCAATGTATACTGCATTTCCCACACTATCTAATCATTTTTATTTTATTTTATTTAGAATTATTTGTTTAATTAAATTTTTTTTTTTTATTTTTAAACTTGCTATAGTGCATGTACACTCACCAAAGAGAAAGCGAGAGAGCCAGAGAGAAGGAAAGTGAGGAAGCAAGCCACTAGGTCTGAGATTCAAACTGTGGTCGGCCATGTGGGAAATCTAGTGCCTCAATCCCCACACCATCTGCTGGTCCCTCTACCCATTTTAAAAGACAGATGCATTTTGTTGTGTTGGATTACAGCAGAAAACTAGATGATAACGTTGTTATTTTATTTCTCAAGACTACTTGAAGCATGATCTTGGGTGGTCACTGGAAGGCATCTCATCTCCAATCTAACATAAGTATTAGTGAAATCCTATTTTCATTATTCTGTTTTTGGAGAAAGTCTGATTCCTGAGAATAACAGACATTTATTTTGTTTTATCTAACTTAACAAATCCACAGTGGACAACACATTTATTTGGGGCTCACGTCGAGGTTTTAGGCCTTTTTTATCTTCCTACCGAATGGGCACCCCTTATCCACCTTTCCCTCTAATCCTTACTCTGCTTTAGCTTTCTTCAGTGCTTTTATCAGACCCTGGCATTATAGTTTATGATTTGTTTATTTTTAGCCCCTATTTCTCATGAGGTTGTAAATGCCTCAAAGGGACCCTGGTGTCTCCAGTGCCTGGGAATGTCCTGTCACTAAACACGGGGTCTTTGTTCCTTTGACTTGGCGACAGCCAAGAAGGTAGAGGGGGATAGGGGACCGAGCAACAATGACCTTTAAAGAGCAGTTGGTGAAAACAAGGACAATCAGATGAGAGAAGAGAATTATAAATTAAGGTATTTCAACATTGAAGGGCCCCTGTCAAGTGTAAGGTGGAACCTTTCATGTTCCTACTTTGAGGGTAGAAGGAAGGTCAATGAGCGAGTGGGACAAAGATGCAGGTTTGGCTTCAGAACATAGGTTGAACTTAAGAAATTCCTGTTGTGATTATTTTGACTTCTACGAAATGGCAATTTCTTGTGGTTCCATTTAATTAAATAGCACCATGTAAATGCCTAGGCATGGCGAGTTGCGGAATGGGGTTCCAAGAGGAGTTAGCTCTCCATCACGGAACGGGCTGTTGCAGAAGGCTGATGATGGAGATAATGTAGGAAAGATTTCTGAAGCAGATAGGAAATTATCTCACCACTGTAGACACACATTTATCTTACTGACCATGGCTACATCTTTGATTCTTGAATTATTTAAATGTAAGCGTTTTCATTATTTATGTAGAAGTCCTCATGAAACAGATAAAAGGCAACTTAAGCCAATAAGAAATTTAAATGAAAACCCTTGTGTTCATCACAGTAGTAGACACGAAATTTATCATTCTATAGATAGGCTCAAAGTATTGATTTCAGGTACAGGAAACATGGCATCGTCAAAAGAGCCTATGATCTAGGGCCAAAAGAACTGGAATTCACAGAACCCTGCTCCAGCCTTTTACCAACTATGTGGCTTAAAGCAAGACCTTTCTTTCTTTTTTTAAAAAAAAAAAATTTAAGAGAGGTTTTTGCTATAGGGCGCATGTGCTCCCCAGAAAGACACAGAGAGACAGAGAGAGACAGAAAGCGAGAAATCAACCCCCAGGATTAATGGCCACATCACAATCCCTTCTCCTCCATTCTCCTCTTGGGATCTTGGCTTCCTGGCCTGCC